CAGTGACCATTCTTTTCTCTGGATTATGGGTCACAGTTCCTGCTTCTTTGCATGTCATATACACCATGTTTTAAGCTGGATGTTGTGCATTAATGAAGAGAAGAGACTGGGGAAGACTAAAGGGTATATCCATCTCCCAACAAGGGCACCCCTTTTTCTGTCACGCAGCATGCTGAGGGCCTGACCTCTTCACTGAATCAGATTTCTCAAGTTTCGGCTCCCCTGTCTTCAAATATCTTGAAGGGGAGCCCCGGCCCCCACCTCCAGCAGGGCTTTGGGGTTCAAACCACAAACCAGGTCTCTGCTTTCCAGCCCTGTCCCAATTCCAGTTTGGGGTGATTCTATATCAGCTCCTTCTCCCTCCCACTTTCCCATATTTTGGACCAGAATGGGCTCATACATACCTAAACACACAGCTCTTAGGCCTGGAGCCAACGGCTGCTTCCGTGAAGTTGAATGCAGGCCCAAACAGGAGAGGGGAAGCATGAGCTGCCTGCACCCGTGCCCATGCAGCCTGAAGGGACTTCCCTGCAAACCCGGAGTGCCTCAGAAATTTCCCCATCCACCCAGTGAAGAAGTCTCTTAGGACCCCCCAGTCTCCTGTGCCTTCAGACACTCTGTCATGGAAACCAAAACCAAGCTCTCTTGGTCTCTATGGCTTCTGCTTAGAGGGGAACTTCTTCAAGCATCTGGAAGAATCTACTCTGGCTGTACTTTAGATGTCTGCCATCAAGGCAGCCTTGAAGAGTGACTTCTGGAGGCTGAAGTGTTACTGCACAAAATTGGGGTTCTCTGCCCGATGCTAATTATGGCATTAGTCTTTGGGGGAGAAATCAGCTTTTATTCTGTGCAATCAATCTGCAGGGGGACAGGGGACATGTACCCTCAGATCTGTCTCCCCAATTCAGGACTTGGGGCAAAATTTAAGAGGTTAGGGAGAAAAGGCTGGCAGGCAGAAATGCTGGTGGGACAGGTTTTGATTGGTGGTGCTTCAAGCATTTATGGTAAGGTTTTAAACATTTATGACAGGGTGGGGAAGGAATTTTAACACCGGATCTCCTGAATGAGGGACCCCTCGCTTCTGATAAGAGTCCAACTTTCAAGTTCTGGTCGAGTCCCGGTCCTTGGGTTCCATGGGGAAGAGGATCTTTAGTTCCGAGGTCATTTCAGGTTACAATTCCCTTTTTCGCATGCTCTGGCTATGTGACTTTGCAGTTTTTCTGAAAGACAATTCTTTCCTTTTTTTGTGTGAGGAAGATCAGCCCTGAGCTAACATCTGCCAGTCCTCCTCTTTTTGCTGAGGAAGATCAGCCCTGTGCTAACATCCATGCCAATCCTCCTCTTTTTGCTGAGGAAGACTGGCCCTGAGCTAACATCCGTGCCCATCTTCCTCCACTTTATGTGGGATGGCGCCATAGCATGGCCTGACAAGCGGTGCATTGGTGTGCGCCTGGGATCTGAACCCGGGCCGCCAGCAGTGGAGTGCACGCACTTAACCGCTACGCCACAGGGCCGGCCCCTGAAAGACAATCCTTAATCACTCTGTTGATAAGAGATGGGGTGAGTCAAACCGGTCCTGGAGGGCCTGTGGTTACAAAGGGACTGAGAAACCTGGAGTTCAGAAACTGGTATACGGCCACACATGCCAAGAGTTATAGTCCCCGCTGTTTGGAATTCCAAATGGTGGGTCTTAAATTTACTTAGAGCACAGTGCTGCCTCTTGACCAAAAGGGACTGACATGTTGTCCTGCTGTGAGCACAAGTCCTTTGATGCTTGTAGCCAGAGCACCCACTGACCGAGCAGGAGAGGGCTTGCCTGGCGGGAACAGCCAACATTAGCACTGGCACCTCACTGCTCGCCTCTTCACTTAGAGTGGGCAGTTTCCTGTGGCACTAGTAAGCCTGAGGAATGACTGCCGGGGCCACTGTGTCCAGGTCCCCCCACCACCACTCCCAGCTCCCCTTGTCAGTACACGTCCGGACCAGCGTACAGCTCAAGGGCAAATCAAGGCCAGGGAAATTCATAATCTTGAGCCTCAGGGGCTGTCCCGGCTTTGTGAGGATGCAGACAATGATGGCATCATCTCTCACACCGTCCTGCCTGGGCCAGGCCCTGTTTTAACATGGGCATCGTCGCACTGCAAGCTCCAAGCCCCCCTGGGAAGCAGGTGCTGTTGCTAACCCCGTGTCCCAGATAAGGCTTTCCTGTTGTCGAAAAGCAGCACACGCCCCATCCCTCTCAAACACACCAGATTGAATCACTTAACAGAAACAGCAAGAATGCTATACACACACATACACACACAGTACGTGTTTGTGTGTATGTACATATATGTGTATATATACACACACATATACACACAGTACGTGTTTGTGTGTATATACATATGTATGTATATATACACACACACACACAGTACGTGTTTGTGTGTATGTACATATGTATGTATATATACACACACATATACACACAGTACGTGTGTGTATGTACATATGTATGTATATATACACACACATACACACACAGTACGTGTTTGTGTGTAATATACACACACATATACACACAGTACGTGTTTGTGTGTA